GGCCAGCGGCCGGCCGGCGGGGTCGTCGCGGCACAGGGCGACGGTGAGGGCGCGCGCCGGGGGCAGCGCGGCCAGCTGGAAGAGCTCGCCCCAGAAGAGCCGGCCGTCGGCGCCGGGCGGTTTGGCCGTGGTGCGGGCGAAGACGGCGCCGTCCAGCTGGAGGTGGCAGCGGAGGCGGCGGCCGGGGGGGAGGTCCCGGCCCTCGTAGACCCAAAGGGTCAGAGCCAGCTCCAGGCGCTCGCAGTTGTCCTGGTGGGGTGGGGGACAATGGGGACAGTGGGGACAGTGGGGACAGTGGGGACAATGGGGGCAAAGGGGACAGTGGGGACAGTGGGGACAATGGGGGCAAAGGGGACAGTGGGGACAGTGGGGACAATGGGGGCAAAGGGGACAGTGGGGACAGTGGGGACAATGGGGGCAAAGGGGACAGTGGGGACAGTGGGGACAATGGGGACAGAGGGGACAATGGGGACAATGGGGACAGAGGGGACACAAGGGACACTGAGGACGCTCCGTGCTGGGCAGTTCGTGCCTCAGTTTCCCCACCCACCCCAAGGACAAGGGAGCCCCACGAGGGTGCTGGGGTGACAGGATGTCCCCGAGGTGTCCCCAGGGTGTCCCCGAGGTGTCCCCAGGGTGTCCCCAGGGTGTCCCCGAGGTGTCCCCAGGGTGTCCCCAGGGTGTCCCCGAGGTGTCCCCAGGGTGTCCCCAGGGTGTCCCCGAGGTGTCCCCAGGGTGTCCCCAGGGTGTCCCCGAGGTGTCCCCAGGGTGTCCCCAGGGTGTCCCCGAGGTGTCCCCAGGGTGTCCCCAGGGTGTCCCCGAGGTGTCCCCAGGGTGTCCCCAGGGTGTCCCCGAGGTGTCCCCAGGGTGTCCCCAGGGTGTCCCCGAGGTGTCCCCAGGGTGTCCCCAGGGTGTCCCCGAGGTGTCCCCAGGGTGTCCCCAGGGTGTCCCCGAGGTGTCCCCAGGGTGTCCCCAGGGTGTCCCCGAGGTGTCCCCAGGGTGTCCCCAGGGTGTCCCCGAGGTGTCCCCAGGGTGTCCCCAGGGTGTCCCCGAGGTGTCCCCAGGGTGTCCCCAGGGTGTCCCCGAGGTGTCCCCAGGGTGTCCCCAGGGTGTCCCCGAGGTGTCCCCAGGGTGTCCCCAGGGTGTCCCCGAGGTGTCCCCAGGGTGTCCCCAGGGTGTCCCCGAGGTGTCCCCAGGGTGTCCCCAGGGTGTCCCCGAGGTGTCCCCAGGGTGTCCCCAGGGTGTCCCCGAGGTGTCCCCAGGGTGTCCCCAGGGTGTCCCCGAGGTGTCCCCAGGGTGTCCCCAGGGTGTCCCCGAGGTGTCCCCAGGGTGTCCCCAGGGTGTCCCCGAGGTGTCCCCAGGGTGTCCCCAGGGTGTCCCCGAGGTGTCCCCAGGGTGTCCCCAGGGTGTCCCCGAGGTGTCCCCAGGGTGTCCCCAGGGTGTCCCCGAGGTGTCCCCAGGGTGTCCCCAGGGTGTCCCCGAGGTGTCCCCAGGGTGTCCCCAGGGTGTCCCCGAGGTGTCCGCAGGGTGTCCCCAGGGTGTCCCCAGGCTGTCCCACCTTGTTGGGCTGGGCTGTCCGGCGCAGCTCCTCGATCCAGCGGTCGCGCTCGGCCAGGGAGGAGCAGCCGAAGGAGCGGCTGCCCTCGGCCGTGATCACCTGAGGGGACACCGCGGGTGACGGGGACACCCCAGAGGGGACACCGGGGGGGACAGGGACACCGGGGGGGACAGGAACACCCCAGAGGGGACAAGGGGGCTGCGTGTCCCTGGCTAAGGGTCCTTTCGGGCCTTTTTTGGGGTCTGGATCTCCTTTTTGGGGTCTGGGTGACTTTTTCTGGGGTCTGGGTGCCCCTCTGGGGTTCCCGGGGTGCCCCCCAGGCCCCCCAAGCCCCCCACCCCGTACCTGGAAGCAGAACCTCTCCCCCACCACGCTGCCGTGCACCGGCCGCACGATGACGTTGTCCCCGGTCAGGTCCAGCTCGGGCGGTGGCAGCAGGGACTCGCGGGAACCGCTGCGGCTGGGGACCCTGGGGGGACAGCAGTGACACCAGGACCCCAAAAATGGGGACAGCAGTGTCACCGGAACCCCAAATGGGGACCCTGAGGGGACAGCAGTGACACCAGGACCCCAAAAATGGGGACAGCAGTGTCACCGGAACCCCAAAAAGGGGACAGCAGTGTCATTGCCACCCCCCTCAGCGTTGTCCCCTACCTGTCACCCTCCGGGGCCGCCACCACCGCGTCGCTTTTGGTGCCACCGCGACTTCTCCTGTCCCGGAGGAGCCTCTTCCACAGCAGCCCCTGGGGACAGGGACAGGGATGGGGACAGGGATGGGGACAGGGGACACAGGGGACACAGGGAGGGGACACAGGGGACACAGGGAGGGGACACAGGGGACAGGGACAGGGATGGGGACAGAGGGGACACAGGGGACACAGGGAGGGGACACAGGG